AGCTTCCGGCGCCTCGAATCGGGCTTCACGGTGGCTGCCACTCAGCAATCACGCTTCCGTCACCGAAGACTTGGTCCCCGTAGAGAGGCGCCACTGCCAGGGGTTGCCCTCGAAGATCAGTGACGACGACGACGAACCACGGACCTCCACGACGACGAACCACAGGACCTCCCGACGACAAACCAGACTCCACGACGACGACACGGACCTCCACGACGACGAACACGACCTCCACGACGACGAACACGGACCCGTCCACGCGACGGAACACGGACCACCCACGACGACGAACTACGGACCACCCACGACGACGGAACCACGAGGAAGACGACGGCGACTACGCTAGACATTTTATTCTTATTTAATCAAAAATCAAATAAAAAAGTTTAATACAAAATAAAATAAGATATGATTAGTATTATCATACATATACATTAGGAATTTGTTATGGTGTATGTGGCACTAAAGGAAAAGGCCAAATAAAAATATGGACATAATTAACATAAATAAAAATAAAATTCATTATAAAATACGGTAAATTAAAGTAACGCATCCAGCAATTTTTATAGAAGGTTGTCCGGCGCCATTACTACGCTTTCCTTTTTAACCTTTTATCTGATGGGGGCATAATGTAATGCAGAGATATGTGTTAATATTTAATGTCAAACTTTAGGAATTTTGGGATAAGTCTTTGTCTAAACGGCGCACGTGGGTCCCACGACACGCCTATGACGTGGTAGCCAATGAGAGAGACAGAGGAGCATTCGTGGTCAAGGCGTTGTCTACCGCTGACCACGGATAGGGGAGCGCCAGCCAATGAGAGCGACCGAGGTGCCCCGCGTGACCAGAACGTGAGACAATGAAGGGGATGCGCGTATTTAAACGGGAGACGTCTTTGTGCGTCCTTCTTTTCAGTCTCTGCCTGACTCTTCTGATAGACGTATAGTATCTTGCGTGTCTGAACCTCGTATCCGATAGAATCGTAAGTTATGTTTTGTGACGCGTTTACCTATGTACACGTAATCTGCTTTGTTCATGGGAGTATACGTTAGTTTAAGTTATTGTTATTAAAGATGTGATTGTACTCTAAATACGTAACTCACTCTTGAATCATTTATATACGCATATGATAGACGTTTAGTAACAAGCGTCCACTATACGATTACGATAGTACCAACAATGATATAATATCTCATTACACATTTTATGTTATGGTAATATTACATGTAAATTTCATGGCAGTAATAAACCAGTAATATGTACAGGGATAAGGAAAAGTCAACTTACTCGGTGAGTGCATCAAGTGCCATTGTGTCTGGAACCAGTAGGTAGCGCTTGAGAGCAGCCACAACCTCTTCCTTGTAATAAACCAGCAGAGCAAAACTCTGCACCTTTGATTTTAACTCATGCCAGAGTGTCACTATAATAAACACATTTATGGAAAATGACAACCAAATAAAATAAGTGCATAACATTAAATCAGGAAACAAAGACATGAGAAAAGTCCAGAAAGCAATTCATTAAGAAGAATGAAGAATTTCGATGCATTATATAGCAGTAATGAACATAAAAACAGAAACATTACCTATGACTCTGCAATTTTTTGGTATATTTATAGTTCTCCTGTTGGCTATTGGGCATTTGTTCTAGAGGGGGTGCATGTATGGCAAGATTTAATTCTGGGCATCTAGCTACATAATGATTTTGAATGGTGCTTTAACTAATACCCCGTACAGACTACAGATTTGATATAGAATTAAACTAGCGCGCGCTAGGCGTGCGCCAAATTTTTGCAGTGTGTACACGTTATCCCGCTCGAAATATGCGCTGGCCTGCTCCAATTTGGCCCTGACACTCTGGCATGATTAAATCAAAAGTGCAGAGTTTATGCTCTGCTGGTTTAATTACCAAGGAAGAGGTTAGGCGCTCTCAACGCCACCTACTGGCTCCAGACACACTGGCACTTATCAACTCACCGAGTAAGCTGACTTTTCCTTATGCCTGAACATAAATACTGTTATCTACTGCCATAAAATTTACATGTAATATTACCATAACATAAAAGTTACCTGAGATATTATATCATTTTGTACTATCGTAATCGTATAGTGCACGCTTGTTACTAAACGTATATCATATCGTATATACAATGATTCAAGAGTGAGATTACGTATTTAGAGTACAAATCACATTCTTAATAACAAATAACTTAAACTAACGTATACTCCCATGAACAAAGCGATTAAGTACATAGGTAAACGGTCAACAAAACATACACTTACGATTCTACTCCGATACGAGGTTCAAGACACGCAAGATACTATCGTCTATCAGAAGAGTCAGCAGAGACGACAAGAAGGACGCACACCCAGCGTCTCCCTTTTAAATACCGCGCTATCCCTTCATTGTCTCTACGTTCTCTCACGCGGGGCACTCGGTCCGCTCTCCATTGGCTGGCGCTCCCACTAATCCGTGTCAGAGGTAGACAACCGCCCTTGACCACGAATGCCTCTCTCTGTCTCTCTCATTGGCTACCACTCGTCATAGGCGTGTCCGGACCACGTGCGCCGTTAGAACAAAAGACTTAGATCAAAATAGTCCTAAGTTTTGACCATTAAATAATTAACACATATCATTGCATTACAATATGCCCCATAACAGAAATAAGTAGAACGCGTAGTAAAGCGCCGGACAACATTCTATAAAAATTCTGGATGCCTTACTTTAATACGTATTTATAATGATTTATTTTATTTTATGTTAATATAATGCCATATTTTTATTTGCTTTTCCTTTAGTGCCACAACACCCATAACAAATTCTAATGTATGTATGATAATAACTAATATATCTTATTTAATTTGTATAAACTTTTATATTTATTTTCGATTAAATAAAATAAAATGCTGGCGTAGTCGCCGTCGTCTTCGCTCCGTGTCCGTCGTCGTGGGTGGTCCGTAGTTCGGTCCGTCGTGGGTGGTCCGTGTTCGATCGCGTGGACGTCCGTGTTCGTCGTCGTGGAGGTCCGTGTTCTCGTCGTGGAGGTCCGTGGTCGTCGTCGTGGAGTCTGGTTTGTTCGTCGCGGAGGTCCTGTGGTTTCGTCGTCGTGGAGGTCCGTGTTCTGTCGTCGTCGATCACTGATCTTCCGAGGGCAATCCGCTGCAGTGGCGCCTCCTCTAACGGGGACCAATCTTGGTTACGGAAGCGTGATTGCTGAGTGCACCACCGTGAACCCCGATTCGAGGCGCCGGAAGTGAGCAACCATCATCAAGAAAACTCGTCCCCACGAACGCATAGGGGACCTGTCCGGTGTGCCCTAATGACGGCCGCGCATTGAGGCGGGGTACTCCGTGCGAGAGTCATTTGCCGGTCCATGGTAACCATGGCCTGATCGTGGTGGTGGTGGCAGTGACAGTTTTCCGTAGGCGGCGGAGGGGGCACTCGTGTGCACTGTGTGCGCTGTGTGGCCGATGAGGTAGCCTCGTCGTTGTAATCGCACGTTGTGGGCTGCGGGTCGTCCCCGCACAAAAACGTTTGTAGGGTG